TTAACAGCATCCAGCAACCTTGCCATGAGGTTCAGAGATTGTGAAATATAAAGTGTGCGGGGACAGGGCAAGCCCACAGGTCTTTGCTGAAAGGAAGATACACGGATGGATGGATGGATGGATGGATGGATGGATGGACGGATGGATGGACGGATGGGTGGATGGATGGCCATACACTGAGGAGCAGTTGAAGAAAGCAAAGCTGTCCATTCTAGAATAAACAAAACTGTCAAAGGTTTGTGGGGGGCAGGGTTCCGGGGGAAAAGAAAGAACCTTGCAGCAGTACGCAGTTTTCCAGTGGAGCTGACTAACCTGAAGAAGCAAGCGCCCTGATTCTAGGAGGGTCCAGCTGAAGCCAAGGTCACACTCCTCCTCTGTGGAGACCCAGATTTTACTCAGGGAGTCAGTTTCCTCCTGGGCCCAGATTTGTCCAGTGACATACTAATATTAGTTTAATCTTTGCTTAAAATTATCATACTTAAAAAAAGCACTTTGTTTCCTTATTCATTTTTTTTTCCATTTTCTTTTTGGATTTTAAGACAATCTTGTGTAGCCCAGGCTGGCCCATACTTGCTATGTAGCTTAGGATGACTTTGAACTCCTGATCTTCCTGCCTCTATGAATTCTGAGATTGCAGAACCATGCTTGTCTCTAAAATTTTTTCTGTAGCCCTTAATCTGAGCAAAATATCCATTTAAAAATCAGGTCTACTACAATGCCTGCCTGTGTTTTGTTTTGTTTTGTTTTAACAATGCATAGTAACAACTATGTAAATGTTCAAATAGGAGATCTGTCACATCTTTAATGGTCTTTCTCATCATGATGAGAACTTGCTCTGCTGGGTGTGATACTACACTAAATATGCTGGAGGGGCCCTGCTGGGTCCAGATTCTGCTCTCTGAGGTGGCTACACCACTGATAAAGCTCTTGGTCCTTTTTGGGTCTCCTAGCATATTTCATCTGTGTATTTCATCTAATCCCCATGACAACCCTGAGGGCTGGGCAGAGACGCCACAGATGGAGCCTGGGCGTGCATAGCACAGGCCCCACCCAAGTCCTATAGACGTCTCATAAAGGGCCAAGAAGGAGTTCAGAGCTGCAACTTCCCATCTGACCCAGAACCAATTCCATTCTTAGTGTTTTCCAAAATCTCACTAGCAGAACAACCCTCATGTAAATCAAGACATTTACCCACTGAGAGGCAGACTCGTGCCAGGCTCTCCAGACAGTAAGTCCTTCTGACACCCAGAGTGTCGTCTTAGCAGCTGAGGATGACCCACATTGTCAATTGCCCATCTAGCCATCAGCAGGCCCATCTAATGAAGCTTCCAGGAATAATAAAAGACAATAAAGGAGCCGGGTGTGGTGGCACATCCCTTTAATTCCAGCACTGGAAGGCAGAGGCAGGTGAATCTCTGTGAGATCGAGACTACCCTGGTCTATATAGCAAGTCCCAGGCCAGCTGGGGCTACAGGAAGACCTTGCCTAAATAATTAAAACAAGCAAACAGACAAAGACAATAAAAGCAGGCTAAGTTCACATGGTTGATCCATGCCTCCTAGGAGAAGAACGCCTGCAGAAAACTATCTTGAATCACAGTGACCAGGCATTAGTGTGTGGGAGGCAGGCCAAGGAGGGCCAGTGAGAAGAAATAAGAATACTAGCTGGAAGAAAGAGATGCCATCATGAATTATACAGCAGGTACCAAGGAGTCCAACCTGGCCTTTGGCTTGTCAGTGGCAACACTGCCCCATTTCACAAAGCCCCCAGGGCAGGCTACAGGCTGACTGCACAGGCCTTCCCCACAGCTTGGGCAATGGTAACAATCCCACTCTCTGCATTCGCCAGACGTGACCACCTCTGTCCTTTCAGGCTGCTCTAGAACAGCATGCTTATCTGGCTGGGACAATAGGGCCACACAACAGGTCTCCTCGAACCATTAATGAAGCAATGGGCAATAGACCAGCGATGGTCACAACCTAGGGCCCAGGGCTCAATTTCAGAGATTCATAACTGCCCTGAGTCATATGCTGTGATGCTAATTTTGTCACCTTGATGGGATTTGGAATCACCTAGGAAACATACCTCTGGGCATGACTGTGAGGGTATTTCCAGAGCGATTTAATTGGGAAGACTTGCCCTGAACATAAATAACACCATCCCATGAGCTGAGGTCCTGGACTAAATAAAAAGGAGAAAGTAAACAGAGCATCAGCATTCAACTCTCTACTTCCTGACTGGATGCAGTGTGACCAGCCACCTCACATTCTTGTCACAGCTCAAGCCACCCTCACCAACAACCCTTTTTGGCCATGATGGGCTATACCCTCAAACTGAGAGACAAAATAAACCCTTCCTTCCTTAAATTATGTTTGTCAGATATTTTGTCACAACAACAATCCATATGCTCAACTTTGAACATCAAACAATGTTTTCTGGACTTCTCACACACATATTTAAAAATGTGCTCAACTTATGCTCAACTTTGAACATCAAACAATATGCTCAACTTTGAACATCAAACAATGTTTTCTGGACTTCTCACACACATATTTGTGTCTCAAAATCACAAAAACTATGACTCTAGATTCCAGAGCCTGAGCCCCCTTGGCTACCTGTCCCAAGTACAGGTACAGTGTACAGTGGCTGTGTACAGTGATGTCACATAAGCTGAGAGTGCCTTTGGGAAATCAGAGCCTAGACTGTTGTTTGAGTTTTGTTACTTAAAGACAAAAGCCTCCCCACTGAGTCAGACCACAGGGCCCAGAGGCTTCATCTAAGCTTATGAGGGCAAGGAAGGCCTCAGAGTCTATCAACAAAGTTCTTTGCCTTATAAAATGGGTGCCTGGTAGGTGCCCTGGGTCACAAGGAGCTAACCCAACTCCTTCGCTTTCCCCATCTCTATATAAAGGTGACTATACTCACAGCTGGCTCACACCTGCCTGGCACTGGCACGTACAGAGCCTCTGGAACTCAATGCATATCTTCTAGACAATTGAGAGCATTCCAACTTTGTACAAGAACCTAATTCCCACTTAGTTCACATGAGTATGGTTTGTACATACTACACAAGTTTCATGAACAATACATTTTCAGATACTTGTAGGAAGGCACACTAGGATATTTCATTGGTAGATAAGATTATAATGATTACTACAGGTATAAAATATAGAATAGAGCCAGACGTGGTGGCGCATGTTTTTTAATCCCAGCACTTGGGAGGCAGAGGCAGGCAGATCTCCTCTATAAGATCGAGGCCAGCCTGGTCTGGTCTACACAGTGAGTTTCAGGCCAGTTGTGGTTATAGGGAGACCCTGTCTCAAAAAAGGCCAAAAAATAAAGAGAATAGAGAACACATTTCCCTGAAAACTCAATAGATCCATAGGCTGGTCTACATGTGACATGAGGACCCAGTCACTCAAGGGGTTCAGTTCATAACAGTCCTTCCTGATTCCAAATGCTCACAGGAACGAGCCTTACCGGAAAGTCACTTGTCACTCTATGAGAAGGTGTGAAATACCCGAGGCTAAAGCTAATAATAAAAGCTACACTTGTCACAAAAATGCCTTATTATAGCTGCAAACATATGAGTGGAAAATGGAAACTAGTTTATGTAGGAGCAAAGCTTACAGTCTTAGAAGACAGTCAGTCACCTGCCTCCCCAGAGGGCCTTGGGCCCTCTCTCTTCCATAAGGAAATGTCAAGGTCACATCTGGGGTGGGGGGGACAATTGCTATCACAGCACTGGGCTTCTTCTCCCGCTCTCCAATGAGAATGACCTTGAAACCCCAAGCATCAGAGCTCCATGCTTCCCATTCTGGCAAAGAAAGGCCAAACTATGCCATAAACCACAGAGATGCTAACTGGCTGCTGGGTAGTGTGAACAGACCCATGAGTAAACACCACGGCCTGAAACATTTTCAGCCCCAGTCAGCAGGGACGTGCAATTTACAGGAAATTAGAAGGTTTATGGAATGTTAGGAGCTCAAATTTCTTCCCTGGGAAAAGAAGCAGGAGAAACTCTAAGAAGTGCTTCAGTGAAAGTGCTTTGTTCACAGCTAAGCCCTGACACGTGTCAGTTATTAATAACATAGCCACCACCCCACACTTCAACCACCACTGCAGAGCAGGGGCTGCTAGTCTATAAATGCATAACTCAGGCAGTGACAGCCTTCAACCCAGCACCAGAAGACCCTCACAACAAGGGCCAGAATGGACACAAGGTCAATCGAGGGGACTTTTAGACACAGTCCTGGGAAGTTGTTGCCCTATCTGGATAGCATGATAATAAAATCTTTCTGGAGGCATCCTGTCAGATGATGAACAAGTGCCTGGTCTTTGTAAGCCCTGCTTTCAAGTCAGATCTGCTTACTCCTGCTGCCAGCCAGTCCTCTGGTGGCCACAGTCCTGAGCCTCATCAGTCAGTCTCTCTAATTTAGTCCAAGACAGTGTGAGACCCAGAACAAAAAACACTGTAGACCAAGGAGGTTTCCCACCACCAGAGGCCATCCCAGCGGTGAGATCAGAGCCCAGGGGAAGTGGTCTTTGTCCCCCTCTCTGGACTGTACTTTGCCCCAGGCCCAGAGTCACCTCAGCAGCTACAGGATCTAACTGGATGTCAGGAGCCCAAGCAGCGGCCTGCATCAGCTCTAGAAAGTCTTCCCTGACCTCCCAGCCTGGAGCAGGGGCTCCTGAGCTATCCCCACGACCACTCTGAACTGTCACTCAGTTTGCACCCCTACCTTCCCCGCGGGGCAGGAGCTGGCAGTGCGTATCACACACAGCGGGCAGGTTAGTGTCTGAGCGCAGGCCGTAGTTGTGACCAGCGCCCCAGCTTCCAGAACCCGGGGCTCTGGGAGTTGTTTATGAACCAGCTGCCTTTCATTATCCACATAAATGTGCCACCCCTCCGCGGATCCCTACCCTCCTTAAGGCCATTTTTTAAACTGGGGGTAAGGAGCCACCCCATCCCGCCGCCCACCTTCCCGCAGAGTCCTTACCCGGGCAGCCGAGGACCCCAGGGGTGACTACCAGCAAAGGGTCTCGGAGCTGCAAGCAGGCCGTCCCCACTGGGGTCCGGATGGTGACCGATTCCTTCAACGCGCACCGTTATGCCGGAGCCCGTGATGGGGACAAGAGGCCACGCACAACCAGCCCCGGGCGCCCGGTGCGTGCGGAGCCCGAGCCGAGGAGCCAGACCGGCCACACCTCCAGTCCCGGAACAAAGCGCCCGCCCGCCCGGCCTCTCCGCGCCCGGCTGCCCAGCCACTCACCGCGCTCCGGCCCCGCGCTGGGCTCCGGCCCTCCGGCCGCCTCCTCCACGCTCGCCCCGAGGAGGAGCACCGCGCCCGCCCTGCCCCGCGCCACAGACTGCTGGCTCCGCGCCAGCCGCCCCGCC